GAACCTGCATCCTATACGGAACCGTCATATACGCTGACGTGCCTTACCTCTATGCTACAAAGAACCGTTGGGTAGACAAGGTCGAATTTACTGCTTATAAACTCCAATTTTCCATGAATCTCGTACATTCATAACTGCTCTGGCGTATCGAATGTAAACAAATGACGTCATATATTAAGAAATGGACAAGGTCCGACAATTTATTTATTAAAGACATATTTTATGTTTAACGTTGTTATTTTATAGATATTTAAATATGTCGGACATTCAGGCCGGTAAATGTTATTTAATACTGTTTATCATAAACAGAGCATTTGCTTAAATACTTGTATCTATAAAATAACAACGTTAAACATAAAATATGTCTTTAATAAATAAATTGTCGGACCTTGTCCATTTCTTAATATATATATATATATATATATATATATATATATATATATATATATATCACATACGATAGAAAAAACCAATTTACCTCATTCGAATAACTATTTCAACCAAGAAGATCTATGTTGGCATTGTCAAGCCAGAACAATATATACATACCAATGTGTGTGGTGGCACGCGCGATGGTTCCTGTGTCTGTGTGAACACATACAATTATATACATAATCACTAACCCCTTTCTATGTGTATAAAAGTAATATGTTTATCAATAGCAGCAAATGACGGTAGGATATTTCCCCCCATCATTTTTTGTCAATTTCTTTCTCCTAGTTATAATTTTTTTATTATTAATTTTACTTTTTTACCGATACTTATTGTGCCTGACCGGCTGTATATATAACGTAATCAGTAATGTCGTCAAATCAAACCTGAATCTACTAATTTATTTGAATTGTGCTTTGCTCACGAATATTTTATCACATACTCCCATCGATCTTTTGAACAGAAGAGGTTTATCTCTTGTTTTACATTTGCTTTCTGGTTTCTTCCTACTTCAATTCTATGCTTCTAATGTCTGCTAGTAAAATCTGAAAATTTCTTTATTATTTATTTATTTTTCCTCAATAGAATTAGATAGTTTTCGCTTGTCGTCCGGATAACATTCCTCTCCGGTATTTTGAACTGGAGTAGAGGTTTATCCCTTATTTCCTTTTTAGGATTGGGTTTCCGGTTCCTTTTAATGTCTCCTTTCACTTCCGCCTAAACTCTGAAATTCTCTTTACTAATTTTTCCTTCAATATGAGTAGATAGGATCGCCTATCGACCGGTTCACCTTCCTCCCGTTCTTTTGAAAAGGTGTAGATGTTTATCGATTGTTTCCGGTTCAGGATTGGGGTTCCGGTTACTTCTAAAGACTTTTCTTTCTCTTTCACTCAGAGTAGCCACTTGGGTGTTAGTGGGATTTTCGCCTTAGTTGAAGTAAATTGATAAAACAAAACTCCGACTAAATTTAATGAGGAAATTAAAAATATGGAACTTATGGATTTGCTGAAAAGTCCATAACATAAATGTAAGTAGACATACCAGTTGTTTGATTGAAAAACATAACAATCAGAATACATAGCTGGCCGAACAGCTGTAGTATTCTGGTATTATGGCAGAGGGAAGAAGTTTAGTTTATGATGATATGTAGGAAAGATAGCAGTTAACCGAAACCTTAATGAAATTTTTATATATACGATATATTTAGGCAGAAACATTCATCCAAACATATTTGATTAAAAAGGACGGACATTGTCTGCTTTAATTTTTATTGTATTTTTCCAGTTTTCGAAACAGGTGTTGAGTATTGTGTTGGAAGATGTGGATAAATTATCCAAAGTTCAAATTGTTTCTTTGGGGTTTTTTTTTTTTTTTGGGGGTTCTTTTAAGTATTTCACACCAAGGTAGGCAGGAGTGCCACTGGCACGAAAGGGGTTACAGAAAGTGGGAGCAAAAATAGAGAGGCGTGATAGAGAAAAGGATGAAGAGAAGGACGGGGAATAAGATCAAGGCATCCGAAGATGTCGATTGATATTGCATTATAGCTATCAGGGAAGCAATTAAGAAGAAAAAAGTTCCACACAGTGGAAGTTCGAGACATGAAGATATTGGTGTAGAATAGACGGTTACATTTAACCGTTTCGACAGTGAAGTGGGGGGGTACTGAGATGCCAACCTAGTATCACGCTTAAATTCCTGCAGTTTGGGAACCAGCGATAATAGCTCCTCGGAGCAGTTACCGTGAAAGTATTTGTAGAAAAGACAAAGGGAAGCGACGGCACGTCTGTCAGAAAGAGATGCCAGATCAGGACCGATCACATTGCATATCCGTCTTTGGATTTTGTCGAAGACTTTGAAACGAATAGTGGGGGCCCCAGACCATATATGGAAGCAGTATTCCATGGATGGGCGAATGGTTGATTTATAGAATTGAAGGATGGACTCAAGCGAGAAAAAAAAAACTTTGTGGCGCGACACATACAACTAACTATTGTCTGTTTCGAGGAATTTTTTGAGCGTCTCATCATTTTCAAGAACAAGTGTGGTGTCTGCGTGGTAGATGGAATTCCATTGTTTACATCACATTTGTTCTTGATAAGACTGAAATGGTCGAATGTACGAAACAATAACACAATTCGTACCTTTCATCGATTTTTTTTTAAATCAAACACACACATATATATATATATATATATATATATATATATATATATATATATATATATATATATAATCGACTCTCGAGATTCGAAGTATGAGGGTCAAGCAGATCAGTTTCCAGGAAACCGACAGCCCGACACCGGCACATGAGATTTGATCATAGTGGTGAAGGCCTCGTGCAGGACCATCCACACTTTTTGAAGAGACGAATACAGAGACCTGGTGCACCGAATGCCACAAGGTTCCCAAACGTCCCTCCGCAGGTTTCGAATTCAGAGATGTCCTTCTCCGAGACCAGTTGCTATGTAAAGCTATAGAACCCAGTCTGTCCTGCTTTCCCAAGGGTATTAGCAAGGGTATATATATATACAGATATACAAATTGCTATCCACCTTCACGATACAGGAAAATACTTGTTAATAACATCAATACACTACAAAATTAATAAGCCAAGACGTTAAACTCTCGAGGCATTCCATATATATATATATATATATATATATATATATATATATATATATATATATATATATATATATATATATATATATATATATATATGGTGCGATGGTAAATTATCGCCATTTTATTTCTTTAATTTCGCGCATGCACTTGTTCGTTTTTCATTTTGTCAACTGCACAGTACAGCAGGGTCAACTGGATACCATTTGTGAGAAAAGAGCACCATTATGCAATTCGACAGAAATTTGGAAATATTATCCTGTTCTGTTTGGCATCCGCGCTAGACGCTCCAAGACAAACATTTCAGAGTGTTTCGGTGTCAGTGTAGAAGTGTCGGACAGAGTCTGATGAGTCTAATGGTGATTGCGAATATACAGCTTTCTATTGAGAAATGAACTTCCGAATTTATTGGTCAGGGCCTGAGACTCAACACGGAGGCCTACATCAAGTGCCTTGAGCAGGTTGTGCTGTTGTGGGTTAAGAGGAAGGCTTCCGGAAGACACTATGTCTGGCAACATGACTCTGCACCATACCACAAAAATAGGAGAACCCAGTCATAGATATCAGACAATTTCTGCGACCACATCAAGCATTACACCTGGCCACCTGGAATGCAGCCCCGTTGATTATGTGTGGGGCGCATTCGAGCGAGACACTAGCAAAACTCCTTGTAGCCCCAAAGATGAACTGAAGGCGAGGATTATGGCAGCATTCACTAACTTAATTATGAAAACCGCCCAGAAGAGATGTTTGGAGGCAATGGTTGAAGGCAATGACGATTTTGTTGAATATGTTTGCTCTTTAGTATTACTAGATATTTTTGTGTAATTTTGATAAGCATATCTGTTAAAATGAGATGTCAGTTTTAATTTCATTTTTGCGTAAATTAGGTGAAATTTGTCAAGCCACCCTTTATGTGTGTGTGTGTCTGTGTGTGTTAACTTTTGTTGATTGTTCGTAAGTTTATTTGTTAATCATATTTAACTATTTAAAAAATATATCTAAAATGAGTAACTGATTCTTCACTCTTAAAAATATTCAAGTGAATCAATACAAAATAATTTTAAAAGTCTCTTTAAACTATTAATAACAATACTTATTTTTAAGTATGTTGTAATTGTTAATTTAATTCCAGTCATGATGATGGCAAACCTCTTTATAAGGAGTGTTCGATTTTTCAATTTCTTATCTATAAAAACGTTTGACATCATCGGCTGCTCGCTAAACTCTCCACATCGTTAAACCTCTTCCCCCTACCACTACTACTGTTACTACAAAGGAAATAGCAAATACTCTTACTGCCTGTGAACCTGAGCTCTACTCGAACTGACGCTACTACCGTTCTGACTAGCGCTACTGCTACCACCACTGTTGCATTTAATCGTGCTGCCTTGATGTTGTTGGCTGGGCTACTGCCATTTTGGTCCTACCTTGTAAAACGGCTGCAACTTTCTCTGGCGGGATACCTGCTCCTCTGACTGCCACTGCTTCTTTACAGTGGAAGAGAGGCTGACGAACGGAATACAGCCAACTACATTTCGTTATCCGGAGACGAGAGAAACGTCACTGAAATAACTTTCTACGCGACTGTGATTGGCCCAAGTTCAAAAAGTGACGAGTAAAGGTGTCCGCCAGCTGACGAACACAAAAAAAGACGTTCATGATTTTTCTAATCGATTGCTTTTATTGATTATCTCTTTACAGATTATCAACATTTTTGTTATTTAAAGCCAGAAAATAATTTTAGATTTTAAGATTTTTTAAAGGATAATAGTACACACACTAATAATTAACCCATAGATAGGGGGAGAGGATATGGATTCATAACTTTTCGCAAAGGGATTTGACCGTAAGTGAATATAACAAACCCGATTGGAATTGAAACTCGGTTCTCCGATTTCAAATTTCGATCTGTTATCTATTACACCATTCGTACATGCAAACTCACAAAACCTGGTATTCCGAAGCGGTCACCCATCTAGGTACTGACCAGGTTCGACGTTGCTTAACATCGGGGATCGTACGGGAACAGATGTTTCAAGGGATATGAATGTAGGCCCTGTTTCATGGCAGCGTTCAGTTTTATTTAAATTCTTTATGATTCCATTTGGCATTAAAACTGCCCCGACGTTGTGTTGATGGTCTTAGCGTCACAGGCGCAGACATTGTATGCATACGGCAACGCGTAAAGAAATGATTAAACTTGTGTTAATGACAGCCTTCAAACATTCAAACTAGCTCACGTATCTGTACAAAACGGATGGAAACAACCAAACGGAGATCTGAATGTTCATGTCTGTTGATGAACAGGTGTTTGGGGCGGGGGGTAAAACATGTAAATATATTTCTCTGGTTCGAGGTCGTTTTTGTTTCCCCAGTGAATCTTTTGTGTGAAGATATTTACATATTTTATAAAAATCAAAAATTGGCTGAGAAGTTCTCGACCCTAAATTCAATAAATCTGTAAATTCGAATAAATATATATATATATATATATATATATATATATATATATATATATATATATATATATATATATGTGTATGTGTGTGTTTATATATATATATATATATATATATATATATATATATATATATATAAATTCGGATTACTAACACATAAGAAGAGAATGTCTCATATCGAGAATATTTAACATCGGAAAACATAAAGGAGAAAAAAAAACTTAATTATTTTAAATAATATGTGGAAATCTCCAACGTTTACCTGATGACAGTCACGAGACCAGAAACACGTGTAGTAAAATTATGGCAAACAAAGCATTCTTTTTTAAATCCACATTACAACCAACAACGTTTGCGGTATCTCTCTTCTTTTTAATATACTCACTTTTCTCTCGTTTGTACTACTATAACTTCTTCCTTTTATATATATATATATATATATATATATATATATATATTAAGAAATGGACAAGGTCCGACAATTTATTTATTAAAGACATATTTTTATGTTTAACGTTGTTATTTTATAGATACAAGTATTTAAGCAAATGCTCTGTTTATGATAAACAGTATTAAATAACATTTACCGGCCTGAATGTCCGAGAAATTTTCATAGAAAGTTGGAGTTTATAAGCAGTAAATTCGACCTTGTCTACCGATTGGTTCTTTGTAGCTCAAGCGGTAAAGGCACGTCAGCGTATATGACGGTTCCGTATAGGATGCAGGTTCAAATCCTGTCAAAGAACGAAAATAAAAATATGTCTTTAATAAATATATATATATATTAGGAAGAGGTTATAGTAGTTCCAACGAGAGAAAAGTGAGTATATTATATATATATATATATATATAAGCTATCGTATTGTTTTCTGTTTTCAAAAATAAATCATTTTCACCAGAAACCAAGTCACCTAAAATCGCTTGATGACGGAACAAGTTTATGTTCCGAGACAGAATTATTATTTTTTTTTTTTTATGTAGCGATGTGAAATATTTTAAATAAAAATATTCAAATATTTTACTCTACGTTGTATCGGGCACTATTTTTTTTTTAAATAAAAAAGGAAATACTACAGAACTGTGGATTCTTAATCTGTTCTATTTATTTATATATATATATATATATATATATATATATATATATATATATATATATATATATATATATATATATCAGGGTATCCTGATATAAACAACTTGAAAAAGATCTTTGACCAATCTCAGAACTGACTAAATAATAAAAAATAAATAAATGAAAACTACACGCCAAGTACAACTTCCTCCGAGACTGTCATTCACCCATGCAGTTCACTGCTACTAACAAGTATGATTTTTTCCGGATGATGGCCATGCTACGAAACTATTCGAGGAACTTAATTTAAAATTAAACGACCATCTTAATATAAAAACTACTGTGTTTGAAATTTTAATTAATTTTAATACCCCAACTGCATGAATTTAAGCGTGCTACTAGGTTGGTATCTCGGTCCCACTCTTTTACTGTCGAAACAGTTAAATATAACCGCCTCTTCTTCTCTCGCACTTCCCGACAATGAAACTCCCTTCTCTCTATTGCTTCCCTGATAGCTATAATCTTCTAATATTCAAATGTAATATCAATCGACATCTTTTGTTGCTTTGATCCGGATTCCCGTCCTTCTCTATATCTTTTACTCAAACGCCCCTCTTTTCTCTCACTCTCACTCTTGCGTGCTAGTGACACCCCTTCTTGCTTGAGGTGAAATGTTTATATATATATATATATATATATATATATATATATATATATATATATATATATATGTGTGTGTGTGTGTGTGTGTGTGTGCGTGCGTGTGTGTGTTTCTATATATATATATATATATATATATATATATATATGTGTGTGTGTGCGTGCGTGCGTGTGTGTATGTATATGTGAGGGGAACCTTTTAATTCACGATATAAAGGTGGCGCTCTGTTTGTTCGTAATTCAATCCTTTTGAAGTGAGACTGGATTGTTTTCTCCAGGGCCGCAGGACGATAGTATAGAGATGCCGTACGCTACTCAGATCATACATGCCTTTACTCCGTCCTCTCAACCGTACTGACACGATCCGAGTATTAAAGTATATTCATTTGGGGCAGCCTTGGTTGCAGGAGGATTGTCAGTATTGACACCCACCAGACTATGGGTTTCCATCTGTCTGTCTCTGTCTGCGTCTCTCTCTCTCCCCCCGCTCTCTCTCTCTCGCTTTATATATATATATATATATGTGTGTGTGTGTGTGTGTGTTGGGAATATTTATTTTCATACATTAATATATAAGAACGTATAATGTTCAGTTATATACCGTATATATACTAATTTTGACGCTAATTTGATTACAGTAGTTGGATATATATATTTTGGCCAGCAGTATTGACGTTAATATTATATCTCTTGTATAATTAAAATTAGCTTTAAAATTAGGCCTTCAAATGTCGCATGATACGCAAGGATATACGGTAAATCATGTTATCTAAAATTCTCCTGTCTTCGGTGTTTTCATATCAAGATTTTAAAACGTTTAATAAATAGTTCGAGTAAGTTTACGAGAATTATTAAACAAGACAATATTCTGTTTTAAAAAACATTTGAAACAGCAGCAAACAACCTGTGAATTGAATGTGAGAATGGTGGGTAGGTGATAAAAAATTTAAAGATTCCATATGCGTATATATATATATATATATATATATATATATATATATATATATATATATATATATATATTTTTACAATATATATTCCATATGAGAAAATATCACAAAGATCAGACTAAGAGCGTGGAAAAATTATCATCAGTATCGCGTTTCGTTCGCAGAAATATTTCTATAGATGAATAATTAGTTTAGTTATTATAGCCGGTTGAATTTTTACATCGAAAACGTTCAAGATACAAAGATGTTTATATCTTTGACGGCCTGCGTAACGAGATTTTGAAATGAGATGATCTTATTCAGCTTTCTATATCTTGTTTTTATTCTTGTTTTTATTATTTTTTTAAACAAACTATGCCACAATGTAAAAGCAATGATATTATGAAGAAAAGAAATATCTTATCACTTATAGATATTATACATATCCGAATTTTAAATTTTAGAGTTAGCCGTTCGTGAATTTTTAATAATTTATATATAAAATTATAACAATTTTTTTTTTTATTACAACTCCACCCTTATGCATATAAAATTGATTCAATTAATGAAAACATTAGTAGTATGAAATATTTCCTTTTGGGGCCTAAACACCTTAACTCTAGGTATATAGCTCGAGAATAAAGATCGCGTCTTGTTAAGTTAGTTAGTTAAAAATATTCAGCACTATTGTAATAAAAATGGAGCGGCCTTTCTCGGGGAAGGCTTACGAAATTGATATGCAGGCTGTGCTACCCATAAAATATATATATATATATATATATATATATATATATATATATATATATATATATAAATTATAAATACCATTATCGTCATAAATCAATAAGCTGTCAGATCCTCATACGTCGAAACCGACAGGAGAGTCCATTATATATATATATATATATATATATATATATATATATATATATATATATATATAATGGACTCTGACAGCTTATTGATTCAGTTATGAAATTTTGTGATAATTGTGACATTTATATATATATATATATATATATATATATATATATATATATATATGAAAAAAATGTACGCTTAAGGTGTACTATATTTATGGGATAAAGTCCTCCATATCATAGATAGAGCGTATGTAAATATAAGTGAACACTGAAGTCAACATTTAGAGGCGACAGGCTGTTTCATGCTAGAAGCAATCATCAGGCCACGATTGCGTCTAGCATGAAACAGCCTATTGCTTCTAAGTGCTAACTTCAATGTTCACTTTATATATATATATATATATATATATATATATATATATATATATATATAAAATAAATAAATATATAAACGTATGTGTCTATATAAATACATGTATGATATATATGTACATATCTATCTATCTATCTATCTATCTATCTATCTATATATATATATATATATATATATATATATATATATACACACACACACATACATGTATGTATGTGTGTACGTGTGTGTGTCCGTTTTATGCTTTTTCCATTATATATATATATATATATATATATATATATATATATATATATATATATATATATATGTGTGTGTGTATGTATGTGTTTTTTAGCTATTCCATTACATATATATATATATATATATATATATATATATATATATATATATATATATATATATATATGTGTGTGTGTGTGTGTCCGTGTATGTGTTTTTAGCTATCTCCATTATATATATATATATATATATATATATATATATATATATATATATATATATATATATATATATACAGGTTTTATTAAAGATGAGTGACATCTTAACTATCTGCTATATTTTACAAGAAATGACAAAATATAATAAAAAGCTTAACCGCTTTCCTTTGTCAGTCATCTTTTATTAAACCTATATACCTATTATCTTATATAGCTCTTACCTATATATATTTTATTAAACCT